TATATATATATATATATATATATATATATATATATATATATATATATATATATATATATATATACATATACATATACACACACACACACCACACACACATATATGAACTTTATCGAAATATGGGTTGCAACCTGTTAAAGTCGATGCATTACATGCTCAACCGTACGCAGTTTCAAAGAACTATCGTGAAGTAGGCTACTCACTGCGCAAACTAGCATTTCAGCACTCCAATCCTCTGTTTATTTTTCCCCTGTTATTCATGTACAAAGAATGTTAATCCTCAAGATGTCTGCTGACATTCGTAATTTGCCACCGGTTCAAATTGTCCACAGACCAATTGTTAAACTCTTCCTAAAAACTCTGCGGCTGTCCGAAGCGGAGAGAAGTCTCTTTAATGAATCGTGCCTGTGTACTGTCGGAACTGGCGCCGGTAGATTCCATATCTTACGCACAGGGGCGGGGTCACGGGCTGGCAGGGACCGCTCTGTTAACCAATAGCAGATCGCGCTGACTGCCATTGGCTCGGACATCATGCTCTCCGAACTGCCACGGCGACTATCGGCCTAGTGCTCCACATTCAGAGAGCTGAGAGACCCATCATTCAACGGAGCAATTCATTGAGATCGTTTTACCTTTCTTAGAGCTTCACGTTGATGATGTGTGATACTGTTGTCTTTTACTAAACGACTAAGAGCTCAGATTGACCTGAAATTTTGAATGTAAAGTTGGAGTCCTAGGCTAACTCCGCACAGCGTCAGAAAAATATTTAAACGAATTGTATTTTTTAATCGAATAATAATATAATAACAGGCACAGGTTAGACTAGGCCTACTTTTATTTTTACAGTCAGTGCCAACCAGCAATTACTTTAATTTCCCATTGATAAATAAAACAAATTATTGCAGTTATCATAAACTTTTGTTACAAAAATTATAAATGTGATTGGGAGCTGTTGCCTGACCATTAACATTTGCTTAAAACAACAAAACCTGTATCAGTGAAGTGTCACATGCGATATATGCCTAACGCAAACAAACACAATTCCTAGCACCTCAGGCATTAATTGGGGAGGAGTATTTTATGGTCTCTAAATTGGGGGCTATTGTTCTTGCGCGTCTAATTGTTTTAAATTAGTTGTCACCACATTCTTCTTGTGAAAACACTGTCTTTGTATGCTGTTGCAAGCGATCAAACGTCACTTTGCATATTAATAGCGGCCCGTCTCTCGGTGGTGCCGACAGGTCGCATGGGCAGGTCCAAATAGAGCCAATTGGTGGCCATTAGGGCAGCTTCGTTGATTCTTGCTTACAATTATCTCGTGGCAAAACAAGCAGCAGGCTCGCCCACCGCGGGCAGAAAGACAGAACGTCGCCAATCAGCCAATTAAGCCTTTAGATAAACTGTGGATAGTCAGCTGAAGACCTCATTTGCATATAGAGTTTAATAAATTGTTTCAGCTTTCACCTCAACATTACATTTACTTGTCTATCCTATTCAGCCAAAAAGGGTATCTTTCATGTTCCACACCTTTTTCTTTTTTTTGGAATAACAAATTTCGTGCAGCGGTTCAAATAGCCTAAACATTCATTGAACATCGAAAATCCTCTTGATGGTTTCTAAAATGGATAACATGTAATATAGTGGATTTTACAATGTGCTCCTTTGGATCACTGCTTCTCACCTTTGGTAGCTCTGTGGCCTCTAACTGCTTGTAGCAACGCTTTGTGTATATTAATTATTCATTTAGCTTGTCTAGTTGGATCAATCAAAGAGAACACAAGATAGACTTGTCTACCAGGGAGCTCCAGCTCGTGCATCACTATCTTTCGATAAACATTTGTGTCATTTCAGGTCTACACCACGAACCAGTTTTACAGATAAGAATGTGCGTTTTTAACTCATTTTGTACATTTTAACCTATCCTTCGAAATAGCTGTGGTGTGTCTATCTGATAATATGTATTTGATAACATGCACTTTATTGTTATTATTATTATTACTTAAAGCAGGAGTTTTAGTTTGCTTGCTCTCCTCTGAAGCAATAATGATTGACGGGCAATAATTGAAGCGCGAGCTTAGAGCCCCTACCGGCCGCCACTCTGACGCCGTGACTTGACGTCACAGTATCTCGGTAAAGGAGGAGAAAAATATAAATGGGCTACAAAGACTTTTCCAAAGCTATTTAAAACTAGGATATAGGCATTGTGTGTTTTCATTTGCATCAAAAAAAAAATCTGTGAGAGTAAATAATCAATTTGGGCACCAATGCAACACTGAGCACTTCTTAAACCAGAGAACTCCTGTCAGTGTTGGTTGTATAAAGACGCTTAAACAGGCTATGTGGCCTTATTGTGACAATACCAGATGCTTAAATCCCTTTTTAACACACTGGATTCTGACCAGGGGCCCCACAGAGCACAAAAAGCCCTGGCAGCCCGAAGCCAACAAATTAGAATGTACAGGATAATATGACGCTTAGTTTTGCAGTGCAATGGTCCATTTTACACACAGTCTTACATCCAAAAGGTGAAATACCAGATTATGCAGACATAAATGGAAGTTGATATAAACTTAAAACGTCTAAAATGGCCTCTCACATTGTCACTTTATCACAAACGGAGTGCTGTGCTACTGCATAATCAAACGTGATATACCAAAATAGTTTTTTAATAGCGACTTGAGGCTGCTCCAAATCTTTTATGTAAAAACGCTGGTGTGAAACCTCCTCAGCCATCAGTATTAAAGTGAAATATTAAACATATGAAGTACAAATATTACAATATTTGTAATATTTTATTTTATTATTAATTATGTTTAACAATTTCATAATATTTCTTCTATTGTAATTTCTGTGTAAATGTATGTGCAGCATAGTCTGAGATGCAGCTTCAGTGCCGCCTTTTTGTTGTGCAAATATGGCAGTACACATTTATTATAGGCTTTGTGTTTTTCTAGCTAGCTGCAGGCAGCCATGCCATCACAACCAGTTTTAGCGCTAATAACGGCAAGGTTCAGCTCACCTAGGGCTAAATATTCTTTAGAGAATACTTGAACTAAATACCTGTGCTAATCCAGTTGCTCTCAATGTTCAAACAAAAGAGACTGTCCTTTTAGGGACTTGGCATTTAAGGTCGGGGGTGTTACTGCAGCGATTCCCCCGACTGAGCACTCTAACTCACTCTTCTTTAAATGTGTGTGTGCAGATTCAGACTTTGTTTCTTATGTAACACAAGTTGTGTCGCACACCATGCGTGACTGTGACGACGACAATGACATCACATTAGTTCGCTTTCAAATAATTGCATCAAAAATAATGGAGAGCGCTGGAAACAAATTGAAGGCAATCATTCCCTTAATTAACAGGTGCCGTGAAATGGCTTTGGCCGTTCGTTCCCTCACCGCGCATTTATCATTCTCCGTGGGGTTAAAAGAGGGCAGGAGGGGGCAGAGAGCGGCGCAGAAGGGTTTGTGAAGATAAGCAGGCACTGGGATATAGGGGGAATGACACAGACCAGCTGAAGCGGTATTGTCCTTTACTCACGGGTAATTAGATTGTGACAGGGCACTCGGGGGCAGGCACAGGCAAAGTCACAAGCCTCCTGTCCTCTGCTGAAGCGTGGATAACGGATTGAAAGCAAAGCGTCTCACCCTCTCTTCATTTCATCCAACAATCCACGTTATTTTGAAGCAACGTCTCATATTTGTGCAGTATTAAACCATGCCACTAGCTGCGTTTATTCTAACGTGCCGCTTTTTGTCTTGTGCGACTTAATGGGTCAAGTTCTTATTCTGAGTGACAGCGTTAGTTTAGTCGGAAAACGATCCTGTGGTAGTCATAAATCTGAAGGGTGGTGACAGCGCGCCCGCCCTCCTTTTGTGGTTGACAGCTCTTGGAGTCAATGATTTGAATACACAGCACAGGTGGGCTAATGCAAGCGTCCTTGGGGCATTCCAGAGAAAGCTAATTCCTCAACTCACACACACATCACATTTGCTTTCACATTTAGAATCATTCAAGAGGGGGGAAAACATCGTCGTTATGCTCATTTGAAATTTTGGCAGAAAATGACTTCAGACGGTTTTCTTAACATGCGTTCTTGCCATTGTTGCATATCAAAATCGTGTCCTCACAATCATAATTGTGTGCATGCATATATATATATATATATATATATGTGTGTGTGTGTGTGTGTGTGTGTTATTCGTTTCATGAATAAAAATGTCTTGTATTGTCGGATGGCTACATGCGGTGTAAATTAGTGGAATTGCATTTTGGGTTGTTCAGTTTGTATATTTTGGATTTTATTTGAACATGTTTGCAAATATAAACATGGGCATTGTTAAGTATGTTCACTATAAATAAAAAATGAGTAAATAATTTAACAAATATCATAATATTATATTAATATTATTAGCACATGTGAAAAATATGAAGAGGAATTGCTGCATGTAAAACGTGTAACAATCTTTATCGTTTTAGTCTTTTCGATTATAGCCTAAAATGCCTGCAGTCGTACAAACGCAAATAACGGATTTAGTTACATAATATGCCCTAATAAAAACAATATGTATTTATTGTATTTAATGTATTATTATTATTAGTCAACCATGCAAAATGTATAATTCATTTGATTGTCTTTTTGTTTTATTATAAACCATTTAAAACTGCAATAACAATAAAACCATTCTTTTGCATAAGCATAATTAGCCAATTTTGGACTTACAGTTCTCTTTTTAAATTCCTCACTAAAACGCGTGAATAATCTCTTCGTATTACTCGACTTCACGCTCGCTGTGTCGAATGATAGTCGACGCAAAACGCATCTTACCAGTGTTTGTGATTAGGCTCTCTCCTCTTGACTCTTCGCAGAGAAATGTGTCCTGGGGGCAATTCCGTGTGGCACCGTCTTTGAGGGAAGAGTAGCGGTGATTCGTTGTGCTTCGCCAAGCGCTGAGGCTCCGGGCACTGTCTTCTCTAGCTGGCGATGCCAGCCTTTCCAGACAGTCAAGCGGCTTTCCAGAATGCTTTCGCTGAGGATCTTTCTTCGGTGACTTACGGTGTGGTGTAGTGTAGTGTCTGACACCTCGTACTCTATCTTGTCTCTCGCTCTCTCTCTGGAAACAGCGAAACTTGAGGCACAAAGTAGGACCGCTGCAACGTAGCCGTGCGTCAGCCAATCTGGTCTTCCGGTAGTGCTTTGATGGTTAAAAGCTGTGCTGAAGCTGTTTCGTGTGGCGCTCTCACTCGTATAATTATGAAACAAGACCCAGTCGCTGAAGGCTTTGCGCATAGCTCTTAGATTTTGACCTTCACATAGGCAAACAATGCAGAGAGGATTTGCACCTAAGATTGTCACTCTTATTAGGTTTGGCAGGCTCCATTCTGGATTTTTTTTTGATATTCGGAAGATATATTTTAAAGATTGCAGGAATGAATATGAACGCTAAACCCGTCAT